TAGATGTCGTGCTCTGTGGGGTAGATGTCGTGCTCTCTGGAATAGATGTGGTGCTCTCTGAGATAGATGTCGTGCTCTCTGGGAGAGATGTGGTGCTCTCTGGGATAGATGTCGTGCTCTCTGGGATAGATGTGGTGCTCTCTGGGATAGATGTGGTGCTCTCTGGGGTAGGGGCCGTATCATCACCATCTTCGAAAGCCTGCAAAGGCACTCTAACACTACAACTTTTCACATCAAAACTATTCTTCAAATCTTCGCAAACATTTCTTTGCGAATCCACAACAATACATTGCTTTACTTCTTCAACATTATTATCTATAAATATATTTAAATATGTTAATGAGAAACATAAAAATCTGAGGATACCCACCTTTAACATAACTAAACTGCAAACATCTATAATTAAAATCGGCAGTTACAAAAGCCGTTTTACTTTCATAAAGGGGAAAAGGATGACGAAAGCTACATTCTTGCAAAGGAATTTCTGATTTTTTATTACAATCACCACCTCTACAGGTCTGACATTTTAGTCCAAATGCTAAAAAAATATTTGTAGTCAGACTCTTGCAAATAAAAAGTAAGATTTGTATTTAAATAATTACTTACAGTAGGAAATAAAAGACAAAACAGCACAAATCACCCAAATATAATTCATCGTGGACGTGGTTATACTGATAAATCAGCACAAAATAATGTTGAACTGGTTGAGACAAGAGCTTAAATAAAAGGAAGATAATCCTTATCTTATAAATCTATGATGATCGATTGTAGCATATCCGACGATAAGCAAAAGGGCGGACGTTAAAAGTAGGTATCTACTAATAATCTTCAGATTTGTATAGTATATAAGTACCAATAATAAAAGTCAATAAAAACAATAAAACAATCAAATTAGTCTTAATAAATTTATTGCAATAAAAACAAAAAATCACATATGTACACATACCTAAACATCTAAATCCAAACCTAAATTAGCGTATTTATTTTAAAAGTAGATTAAAAAAGTAACAACAAACACAAAAATAATGTGGGAAGTGCTTTTGGTAGGAGCACCGTTGCAACCATCGCCGTTACAAAGGGAACAGTAATTCGTTTGGAAATGTTCAGTATTGTCCTTTTTCACTTTGACGCAGATATCGAGATCGTTACTGGTAGCAAGCTGACATCCTCGAAGGACATAGTGCTTGTTTCCGTCTAAAAAGCAAGAGTTTGTTTTGTGTTGTTGTATTTATGACAACTTTTGTTGGTATTTGTCAAAAGTGAGGATACTATCAGCAAAAAAGTTTATTTTTTTATCCAAATTAATGAAAAATATAACGTTTTTGAAGCAAAATTCAAATGTATAAGTAAATAGCTATTTATTATACAAGACGATAAAAGTGATTTTTTTCCTTGAGAGCAATATGCTAAAAGATAATGAAAATTTTATCGTCGTGTACAATATAAAATTTTATTCAATCCTCACTGATTTTGTAGTCAATTTGGTCGATATTTTTTATTATCTAGAAGATTCATTTTAACATGAAGAAAAGAGTAGATAAAATTCCATTTTAACATAGAGGATTAAATAAAAAAAAAATTGAACATAATATAAGAAACGATTAACTTTGAAAAAATTTA